CAGAACACGATTTGACATCACACCAATTATGTTTCCTATTATTATAATAATGTTACAGGCGGTATTAGATTGGAAAAGATATGTGAAGTGAATCTTACATTTGTGGGCTCTTCTGTAAAGATAAATCTCGAATGTGATATCAATTAATAAATTATTAAGATTTCTTTTACGTTGCATTAGGAGAGATATATTCCATTTGGTGAGTAGACGTAAAGAATGAGACTGGTTTAATTTGTATCTGAAGGGCAATTTGCATGTTATCTGATCGCATGATGTTATTTTCAAATGAATCAAGGATAATTTTGGATATGGTTTAAGTTAGTGCCTGACGTTTACAAATACACAGGCATGGCATCTAAAATGAGCAATGATCAATGAATTGTATAGGGAATCTGCTTTTTGATGCAGGAAGACGTAACATTGCATTGATTCTACAGTAAATAGAGGACTTATCGGAGTACAGTGTAGGAATCAGATTTCTATAGATGCTACCTACAATGTATCAATTGTTTTGCATAGTTTTATGTAAAATTTAACAGAACTTTTTGGCTGCTGCGATAGACGTTCTGCTATTTGATTGTCATATGGATTAAATTTATTTCGCAGTCCTTCAACGAAAGATTAATTAATGCAGTCAGACATTTTTCTACAATTTGTGGAGTCGTGTTAATCTGATTTGTGTTTGTTTGTTTTCTTTTTTTTTAATTTGTGATATCTAAGATGGTCAAAAATTGAGAAGATGTGAAATTTATTGGATCATTTGTGAAACTTCCCTAACTGATGAATACCAGCCTTTACTTAACACTGATTTAAAAATGAATTGTAAAGGCCATAGTCCGGAAGCCAAGACTGGAAAATTGAGGTTTACCACAACCCACGAGTTAAAAAAGGTTTGATAGTAGGTTTTGAGAGAGGAATACTTGCTGATTATCGCTAGGTAGTTTGTAAAGTCAAATTGTGATATAGGTTTTGTGTTAAGAGGGTGTTTTCGTGGATAAACCACCGTTTAGCATGAAAAAGAGGCTGACTTATAAAACGGGATTCCCTTACCTTGACCATGATTTTAAGACTGGACTTCTTATGTGAAGTTAGTTTCATAACAGAAACTTTGCTTACTCTATAAATCCGTGAAACATGTACCGTGACTGATCACGTGACTCTGAATATGCAGAAACACTCCTAGGTAAATACTAATTACTATAGTTTACTTTCATTTACAAACATTTGCCTATCATCACAAGGGAAGAACGAACGTTTTTGTGTTAGAAAAGATAAATTTGCACTAAATTCTTATGTAAAAACTAGAATTGCTCTTTTAAAGTAAAGTTTAAATGGATTTTAAAGAGTTATCCTCTCAGCATGAAAACGAGGCTAAATAGTGGGTAGACCCTTTTCGCTTTCTTTTTCCACAAGATAATCATTAAGAATTATGAAATTGTGTGACAAATCGTCTTAGAGTTATCCTTATTGTTTTTGATAGGTCTATAATCGTCCATTTCATTCTTTTTATCAGAAAATCGGAAAAGGACAGTTTTTCTCTAAAAACAAACTGAGACTTCACTCATACTCTTATGTTATGGGATACATCGCGATGAGTCTTGCACTTAACTTATTACTAATACTTCATGGAGCAATTTGCAACTTTTAGAAGCTGCTACTTTGTAAGTTATGGAACAGTGTAAATCTGCCGAGGCACAAACTTAGTTTCATTGTTCAATCATCACAATCAGAATCCCTGACATCATCTTCCTCCCATTGTATCCCGTGTGGATTGCGACATGTTTTCTCTGCCATACAACTGCTGGCCTCGGAGAAGGAAAGACCGAAATTGGCGCAGGAACAGTTGTATCGACACTGAGACCTCGTGCAAGGGCAAGTGGTCACTTCGTCTTCTTGCTCTTCTTGTCCCAGACGACCAAGACTTCCCTGGTGCACTTGGCTTCGAATCCTTGCTTTCCATGCTTTTGTCTTACCAATCCCTGAGATTGAACTATTGCTGTCACATCCGGTGAGAGCATGAAAGGCAGGTAAAGCAGCAAGAACCCTGTCTCCAAGCTTCTGGAAAACATCATGTACTGGTACAAAATGCATTTGATCTTCAACACCGGCGAGGAACCACAGCTCTTTCGGTGATGTTTAATGCTCGTAAAGTGGGTTGCACTCAAAACAAGAACGTATGTGTCAGGTAATCGGATGATGATTCTTGTTTCAGAGCTCGCAGTGTACCTAGCATGAAACAACATGCGGGTATCTGCTTCTTCGTGACTGGACGGAAGATCTGCAACATCACCATGGGAATCTCTCGTGGTAGCCACACATCGCCTTCCATCCTTGA